TCAACCGGCGGTCTAAGGGAGGTTTCTTCGCCCTCCGGTGGACCGGTATACAAGTGTCTTTCGGACTTGTTGTTATTTCACCTTTTTCTATCGTGGATACTATGCTAATGCTAATACTATCGACATCTATTTCCGCCGTCAATATTTCCACTGCATTTTAAATGTAGATAATCTTCAGTATTGGATTGAACGGGCGTGTAGCAGAGTGAGGGCCATATTACACCTAAAGAAAGTTGATTACCAGATATACATGGTGTCCAGATCTTTTATGACATTCTCGACAGTCGAGGAAAAAAGCCCAGAACAGCTGAGTCAATATTCTTCTTTGCATTGAACCTGACAAGTGGTCAGATCAAGACCCAAGAGGTATTATATACAAACGAATTTGTCGAAAATGCGTAATACATGATTGAGCAGCGAATTTTGTTAAGTAAATACGGCTAGACTGGAGTATACAGATGGAATGGGATGGATTTTTTTAGCGCATTTCAAACCCACTTGTTTAGCTGTACAAGTCCCGCTCACCATCCCTATCTAGATGCTGTAATCCAAATACTCATAGAACCAACTCGAATCTACAAAATCAAATCCTCTCAGAAGCCGTCGAGGAAACCTTTAGCTTTTATCTCACATCGGTCTATATCGTTCAAACTTTAAATACGTACCCAAGCGGCACTGGTATCATACTATCAAGCGCACAAGTTCCTCTTCAGACCCCTTCACATCATTTTTCCTTTTAGTCAATCAGATTTTTTCATCTCTCTCTCTCATATCACTCTTCAAATCTCGCCAGCGTGCTTCTCGAGGAGTGATTACCATCTAGACACCCGCAAAAGGAAAAAAAAAAAAACAGATCCCTCAACCATATAACACCCGCAACTTAAATACCAATTCAGCAGCTCCCCTATCTCTGCAAGCGGATTTATATATTAACTTCAATCAACCGATATCCACCATCGTTTCGCAATTCACCAGCCACGAAGACAATCGACCACGATCGATAATGCATATCGTGAAAGCATCGCCCGAATATCAATACCTATATCGCAACCGCGCCGTACTTAAATGATGACAGATGCCCCAGAATTACTTTCGGACCGGCTTACAGAAAGCGATCGCGAGAAAAGCAAAACCGCAATATTTGGACGCGTAGGAATACGACGAGAAGTTCGCTCACGCCCCGCGAACACACTCACAAAAAAAATTAAAAATCAAAAAATAAAAGACAGATACGAGCCTACGGTACAAGCAATGATAACGAGAAACGAAAAAAAAAGGGGGGGAGGGGGGGGCAGCACCGATCGATTCTTCAGACTGTTTGCTGCTGCCAACAACCCCTTTTGCTGCCAATCCTCGAGATTCTAACGGGTCGAAAGCACCGCCCCCATCTCATCCCCCAGTTCTCTCTGCATGAACTGCCTTTTTTCGAGGTGAGAGGAGAAAATAAAAGATGGATCTTCGACTGTCCTCCTCTGAGCTCTCGGGATCCCTCTCTCGTCAACGCTCTACTTTTGGACGCGGATACGTGTATGATGGCCAGCTAGCTACATAGCTAGATATCTTCGAGGCAGTAACCACTACACCTTCTCGGTATCATGATTCAAGAATTCGAAATTGCATATTGCTGGGAGAACTAATCAGAACAGAAGATGGCTTGTCTAAATATATCCGCTGAGTAGTGATGGATCGTCACTATTATCGGTAAAGCTCTGGTTGGTTGTCGTTGATGTCCGCGGCTAGCCTCGCTTATACGCTTAAGCGATTAATCGATTGATTGATTGATTAAATTGATTTCACTTGCTCCGAGTCACGCCGGGAATGTAGAGATAGGCATTGCAATAAAGGACAAGAATTCCACTTGTCTTTAAGCATTCATTCACTTCAATGAATCACTTCAATGAATCACTTCAATGAAATCCTACCGTACACCCTTCCGAAACTAACGTGATTCTGCGAAGCGAATATCAAAAATTTATTTAAGTATCATATCTATCCCGGCAAAATAGCTTGTGCGAACTTTTCAACAAGAATGGTCGGGTTCGCCGAAGATATTCAATCGGCGCAAGCAAAGCAAGATATCATTAACGGAAGCTTCCGCAGGTAATTTCGTAGCTCGCTCCAGGTGTCGGTTTCTAATCTTTCCAACCATTTT